ACTTACCTTTAAAACAGAATGCTAGAGAAATGTTTTCGAGTCGCGTACTCCTGCTTATGTAAGCGCACCACCTGACGGACCAATTCGGCTTATACAGGGTGTCCAATAAATACCACGACAAACTTAAGAAGAAGGTAGGCGTTAGACTGACCTCCCAAATAACAAAAACTTACCTATATAAAAATGTCACCGTTTTTGAGATATTGATTTTTTTCTTAAATATTAAAAAGACGAACTTTTTCATCTGTGGTCTTTAGCTGCATGCACAAATAGGGTTATGCTTTGGTTATTTTTTCTATAAAATACTTCTAGATAGTTGCTTTATCACATACAAATGCAATGCAGTTAAAAGATATTAAGAAACCATGATAAAAAATAATTATTTTGTATTGTTACTGACTCGAGTCCGAATTACAGTAAGTTTCATAAAATCATATCAGGAGCAGGTAATAATAATTCAGCTTTGTACTATTTAGCATGTCACTGATCGGTAACCAGTGCAACTTGAATTTAAATCCAAGAATTACATTGTAGTGCGTGTCAGTCACAAAAGCAGCTATCACTTATTTCTATTTCAAATACTCAGTGTGGTGCCTTTCTGAAATATGTATTCAATGAGCAATATTTTTATTCAGTATAATGCAGTTATAGCCCAGTACATTTTTGTTTCACCACAGATGGTCAAAGTTGAGGAAAAAATATCTGGTTATAAATCCCAAAATAGTCCTTATTTGATCATGGTCCCTTAATATCTTTTAACTACATTGCATTTGTATATGATAGAGCAACTATCTAGAAGTATTTTGTAGAAAAAATGAACAAAGTATAACCCTATTGCATGCAGCAAAGACCACAGATGAACTGGTTCGTTTTTTTAAAATTTAAGAAAAAAATCAATATCTCAAAAATGGTGACACTTTTATATAGGTGAGTTTTTGTTATTTAGGAGGTCAGTCCAAAGCCTACCTTCTCTTTCAGTTTGTCGTGGTACTGTATATGTATCCATACTGAAGTCTGAAGTGCAAAAAACATAAATATGGACCTTGCGCGAAATAAAAGATAACTCGCTGCAGCGGTGCCGCGCAGATGTGGAAAGGGACCACATGGCCAAATGGCCACTAACTGCAGGTAGGGCACGGAAAGAATGTCTATGGATTAATTGTATGGGGCTGTTTGAATGATGTAACCCGTTTAATTTCTCTGTTGCACGTGTCCGTAAGTCAAGATTTTTTCATAGGATTTAAATTGCGCTGAACTTAATCCTTTAGGAATTGATGACGGCGTTGCATAGGCAGAGCAGAGTAAACCCACTTGACGCCATTTTTTTTTACTGATAACTGTTTACGGCACAGACGACACAAAACAAACTCAAAAGGCACAAAAGTATAGGAAAAGGTTATGGGTTGACATTTGACGTTCAGAACCGCATAGAAACAACCACCTGTGCAATGTTGTCATTGATCTTAACTGTCAGTAACAGTGACATCACGAAGGGGCGGTCAGTAAAGTCATCATTTGACAGCCGTTACAAACCGCTTAAAATGAAAGAGTTAAAACCGAACACGACCGGTTATGATTGGTAGACCGCTTAAAATTGCTTATTAAATATACGTAGCTTTATTGCAAGGAGTCTCCAACTGAACTCTGGGAAAGTAACATCAAGCTGTTATCATCATTTACACTGTCTCTAACGATCCTGCTATGTAATGCTCGAGGTAATATACTGTACTGTTTCAATTAACAACCAACTTAGCGGTCGCGGGATTCTACTCGCATCTTTCTCCCAATGTATTTATCAACAACAAGATCATTGCCGGTTCACCTTCCGCCAGTAGATTACCGTTCTCCGCACACCTATTTTTATTCCTTGCACGCATCATAGGTTACTTTAAAACAGTGTTGTTATCAATGAGTTGTCAAGTTCATGATATAACCGTTTATAAATAGAACGTGCGTTAAAAGAAACACGTAAATTATTGTTTGTTTCAATCTCGGGGCGCTTGTGTTGCCGAAGTATATTAACTCTTTGATTTATAAACAAGAATACGTTAGAAAAGGTTAATGGTTTAGAGGGATAGGTCATGCTCAATAGATTTGCCAGAATATTAAATAGTAAAGAATAGTCACGAATATCCAACAGCTCTGATTCACTTCCTGCATCTGATTTGCGTCAAAGGTGGCTTTTTGTCGATGCAAATGCAGATGGATAAGGTAAAGTAGACGTTGTTGTGTCCGCATTGGTGTTTCCAAATCTTGTCTACAGGGTGGTCCAGTTTAGCGGACAGGCTGACAGACAGACAGGCGGAAATGAGTGATTACAATACTTCCCCGCCAGTAGACGTGGGAAGTAAAAAATGTTATTCGAATTATTCAAGCTTCTAGTAAATAGTATGATCTAGAATAAAGGCTTCGTCCAATGTGGATATAGAGACACATGAAAAAAAAGAAGCTCAGCTTGCGTGTAAATTTCGAATTAATCATCCAGCGCCATCTTGACAAATATGAGTTACACTATTAAATGCTATGTCTACGTTTGGGCAATAACGTATAGCTAAAAATAGACCTGTAATCATTTGATTTTTTTGTTCACTCAAATGCAGAATAGGGATTGCTGATTAAGGCAAAGCAAACGTGGTTACGTCCGCATTGGAATTTACAAATCCTGTCTATAGGGTGGTCCATAATGGTTGTGCCAAAAAGGAATCCTAGATTAAACTCGTGAAAAAAATTATATTGAACCAAACATATCTTAGTGATGTGTCTCGGTAATGGCGGTGTACAAGTTTAGTTTCCAAAACAATTTTTTCTGTATAAGCTATTTTTGTGATATTGTTATGAAAATTTGTGTATTTGTGAACATATTACGTAGATGGGGGTAGTAACATTTGCTGCATTGCCATTTTCTTTTTTGCTAGTACCGTTTTCTATTAGAAATGATTATAGAGTTTATTTTTAAGCAAAAAAAGGTACTTACATTTGTTTCGATTAAGTAGACCTTTTCCGAGATATTTGCATTCAACATTTCATTGCACACAGTCAAATGGCTCACTCATAGTCCGTCAAAAATGGCATTATGTGACGGACAGTATGAACGTAAAATAAACGGATTCATTTCTCGTCCTCATAATCCACCCTGTGCCATATGTTGACGTGACTGTACATTAGAATGTTGAAATGTTTAATTCTTCTTTACTTAAAAATCATTTATTTATAACAATTTTAACAAAATAGCAAGATCATAGGCTAAATAGTATGGTGAAGAATACAATATAATCATTTTTCTCACCCAAATAAATCACAAAAACAGCTTGAATTATAAAGAAAAACGAATTTAAAAATTAAACTTCAACATCATAAACGAGCGACATATTACTAATACAGATTTGGCTCAATATGTTATTTTCCACAGTTTAATCTATGATTGGTGCACTCATTATGGGCCACCATGGGCAAAGCAAAGATTTTCAGATCAGATGAAACGGCCGCTTCCCTCAAAATCCGCAGTAGCCTCTACTTATCTTAAACTCCTTACATTCTGACTTAGATAAAAAGTTCTTGTTTAAGCTGCACCATGACAGATTTCTTATTCGTAAAAGAATAAATGAATAAAAAATTGAATAAACAACCAAGGAAAGAAAAGTGAAGGGAATGGAACGTGAAGAGAATGGAACGTAAAGAGATTGAAGTGAGAGTACGTTCAACAAACATCAAATACTATCAACTTCAAAATTCACTTATTTAATTGTTGGCATAGGACCCTCGATCAAAAAGAAGTTGCTTTACACAATAAGAAACGTGTTGGTGATTTTCGAATTTGTAGGTACCGATACAGTTGGTACCTAGATTATTCATCCATATTTTGGGGTAATTTCAGATTGGATAAATTGGATTCTCAGTATATTTTGATATCAACGTTGGGAATTGGGTGAAATGAGATTTCTCCATGATGGTAAAGCTCCTATACTACCAGAATCATAGAGGCCAATCACTTTGCTCAAGGTAATGGGTAAAATTGCCGAAAAAGTTACACTTCCGGTAGAAAACATTGCAGACCAAACGATGTCACAATACGCAGATGATTTGTGCATGCTAAATCAATCCAAACAGCAAAACACAGTCACCATGAAAGAAAAGTGGGCAATGAAATAAATATTTAAATACTATGATCGGTGGGAGCTTACTTGTAATAAGCAGAACACCGAGTGTATTGTGCTTGGATGAGCACGAACGCACCCTAAACAGACCAAGTTTGGCGGGAATGGGGAGCGAACAGTCGTTAGCATCCCGTTCTCGATCAAATACGATACCTTGGGCTCAATCTTAATAAAACTGTAAGCACAGCCTCATTAGAGAAATAATCCTTAAGGCTAATCGAGCAGCGTACGATCTGTCTCCAATCATTGGCTTCATCTTGAATGTCTCTATAGAAGTGGAGCAGAAAATAATTGAAGCATACATCCACCAGGTACTAACAGAAGGATTTACTGCTGTGTTCCCACGCATAAGTAAAAGTGGCATTCTTACGTTAGAGAGAAGAAGATATATAAAAGAATTATATAATTGAATCCCAGATAAGATACTTTGAAGGATGCTACAAAAGGAAAGCGTGGCAACACGCCTGGATCAGGAGCATAAGAAATTTCTCAAAAACACCGCGAAAGACAAATTTGTAAAGCCAATTTTAACCAAAGTATATCATCCAATCAGTCAGCGATGTCAAATCCAACCTCCAAAATTCAAGCGTCCTGTGCACGGTATCTCATAACGATAATAATACTTTATAAAAAGGTTTTATCCCACGTCCCCAATCCTTCTCCTCGTATTTCACCTCTTTCCTAAGAAGTACATATTTTGAATGTATGCAGAAGCATATATATATATATATATATATAACATTTCAAATTGAATTGTTAGTTCAGATTTTGATTATTTTTGCCGTTTTTCTCTTATGAACGACCCTATGATGCTTCACGATTTATAATTTTTTTTCTGGTACTTACCTTGTGATTCATACTTTGCATCCATGGTACTAGATCATCAATAAACTGTCCGATGTCTTCACACTGGACCGAATTTGTTGGTTCTGCTAGGTAGGTGAGAAGATCAGCACCCAACTGCTGCCTAAAGAGCAGGTCCTGCCTAGACAGGTAAGGAGTGAATCCATCCAGGCTCTGGGGACGACTGTTGTACGCCATTTTGCACTACTCTAACGCCACCCCAACCAGCGCAAATGCGCCACTGCTAGAATAGATTATAATCCCATTAGTGTCCAGGTTTAACCAACAAGTAGTTTTTGGGACATGAACTCTCAAGCCCAGGAAAATTTCTATACAACAAAATAATTTACATTATACAGGTTCACTTTATCGCATCTATAGAAATCTTGCATTTAAATATTTCAGAATATAAGTATTTTAGGCCCGTATCGTCAGTCATCCCTACAATTGTAGGGCGCGTTTAAGGCCTCCTTGAATGTCATAGTCCTTTCTCTCCTTCAAAAATTTCTAGATTACACTTGTCCCGTGTCAGCGTCAGCGCTCTCCTATTGTAAAGATTGTTTTCTTTTTAAATTGTAGGAAATTTCAGGCTGATAAAACATGATATAACTCAAAAGCAAGCACAATTTGATGCAAATAGATGTTTGTGACATAACCTCAAAATAGAGCGCTGACACGGAGAAGTAGAAAACTATGACAATCAAGGAGGCCATAAAGGCGCCCTACAATTGTAGGGACGACTGACGATACGGGCCTTAAACTTCCATCGACATTCATCTTTTTATTTTAGGTCTTTACTATTGTTTATAAAGTTTCGCAATTTTGGAATTTTTGTACAAAATTCACCTATTTCCAAATATACTCTGTGACATTATAAGTGTTACACCCAGAAAAAATAATTTCTCAACTTGATTTTTTGACAATGAGGTAGTCTTACATAAATAATGAAACGATAACACTCTCACGAAGTTTTATTGACAAGTAATAAAAAATAATAATGTGTTAGGCGACCCCCCAGCTGAATACACTCCTGAATACGTCTAGGCATAGACAAAATGAGATGATCGATGTCTGGTTGTGGCACCTCATTCCAAGGATCTCGAACTTCGTGGATTAGCTGTGACAGTTAGTGGTGGGTGGTGCAAAGTGGATAGTGTCCTCCCCATCATATCCCGCACATGTTCAATGGGATTTAAATCCACGGCAAAACATTAGCGCCTGCTTCTTGAAAATAAAGTCCGTAGTACGACGAGCAATATGGGGACGTGCGTTGTCTTGCTTAAATAGGGCGTATGGACGACCCTCTAGATATGGTAGTGAAGTGGTTTATTTGACATCATCAACATAATGCGCAGCAGTCATATTGCCTTGAACAAAGAGAAGGAGTGATCGGATACCATGGGCACTTAGTCCATAGACATTATTTTTCTGCTCTACTGGTAGTTACAGACCATGTGGCAACGTCCATTTACACATCTGCGCGGCATCTCTGCAGCGAGTTATTTTTCTGTTCGTGCAAGTTCCGTATGTTTTTTAAGCTTCAGCACGAATACATACATACAGTAATGGACAAAAGTATATAGACAAATTAATATTGTGCTGTATTTCTTTTTTAACTTGTTTTATTAATACACCAACCTGTGTACATAATTCATTATAGCATAATAATACTCACTTATACATAAATAAATTCATTAGACTCCCTTCAATAAAAAAATTAATTGAAAAAAACTGGACCTATGAAGGACAAAAATATATAGACAAAGCAAAACAATTATAGAAAAAAGAAGCAAAGTTCATTGAATTATAGCAATACCAACCATCTTTGTGTTAATATTTTGTAGCATAACCATGATTATCAATCACCGCCTGGCATCGTCTCGGCATATATTGTAGAAGTTTCTTGGTATAATATTCATCAATCTGGCTCCACTTTTGCTCTTAAGCGCCAAAAAGTTCATCCTTGTTTGAATAATTTTTATCTCGTATTTGCTTATCTAAGTATTCCCATAGATTTTCATTTGGGTTTATATCGGGAGACTGTGAAGGCCATTTGAGAACTGGTATTTTTTGATCCAGAAAGAATTTCTTTGCGAGATTTGAAGTGTGCTTTGGGTCATTATCTTGCTGGAAGATTGATCTTACGGGCATACTGTCTTCCATATATGGTAACATGACATGCTTTAGTATATCTGTGTATACAAACTTATCTATTGTTCCATCTATTCTATGTTAAGGTCCCATCCCAAACCCCGAAAAGCACCCCCATGTTTGACAGTGGGCAAAGTGTGATTGGGGTTCAATCTTTGTCCACTAGGACGTCTAACGTAATTAACACCATCTGATCCAAACATATTGAACTTGGATTCGTCACTGAAACATACCCTCTTCCAGTCACAGATGCTCCAATGAAGATGCAACTGTTCAAATTGTAATTGGTCCTTTCGGTTTTTCCTCGAGATTAGCGGCTTCTTACTCCGACGACGTGCAAATAACTTTAATCTTCTACTTATAGTTTTAATAGAAACACTGATAATTCCTTTTGTCTCTATTTCGGCTTTTATTTGTCTTGGGGTTATAAACGGATCTTTGGACGAAATTACTTTTATTAATCTAACTGATATAGCATTTAGTTTTCTAGGCCGACCACTTCTCTTAGAGACTTCCAATATACCTTTTTGTTTATATTTGTTTAATATTGCCCAAACTGCATTACGCTTCAGCTTCAAATTTTTGGCAATGTCGACTTGACGTTGACCATCTTTGTATAAGTCAATGATCTTAAGTCTTCACATCGAAAGAAATTTCTTATTCTATTCCACAATACTTGATGAACACAAACTAATCCTCTTCTGACACGAAACTGTACTAAACTAATGTTGAAAAGAATTTATCTACATATTTTTGTCCCACATAAAAAAGTGCTTATATTCAGACTTGTATTGTGTTTATTGCAGATAATGTAAAAACAAGGAATTTAGTTTTTCTACTAATAACGCATTTGTTTATGGAGCAATGAAGTATGAATTCGTTTTCTTAAGGTATTTAGATAAATATTCATATTTGTCTATATACTTTTGTCCATTACTGTATATTAGCCGGACTGGTTCGCTAAGCGCTTCGCTTTGGCATAGTACGCGGATGGAAAACATTTTTCCATCATTATAAGTTTTAAAGGCAAATACATAGGTAAGTCTATGATGTGTCAAATATGGCTAATAGGTGCATATAATTACCGAGGTTGGTTGCGTATAAATATATTAAAATAAAAAAAAATGATAAACCCTCCTCCACCCCCTACAACTCCCAACTCCTAAATTTCAAGCCCTACAAAAATTTTTCTGAAAATGATCAGGACCCTCTAAAATGTCAGAAAAAAAGGTTTGAGCGATTTTTTTTTTCGGTTTTGGTCTGTTTCTCCGACACCACTGAACCTATTTTCAAAAACTAGAAAGGTTCTGCTTCCTTGGCATAGTAGTAGCCTTGTGTGTAGATTTCATCAAAATCCGAGCGGTGCTTCTCAATTTCTAGACGGTTATAAAATTAGCGGACGGACAAACAGATCGACGGAAATACTGATATGGTTTTTCGTGAATATGTGTCTTATAACATCCAGAAAACACGATAATTCCTTTTAGAAATTTTTTGGCGTTTACAATACTTCCCCGCCAATTGTGAGAAGTAAAATAAAATTGTTGTGGTATTGTGCTCGCAATAAAAACAAAAGTTGAAACAAATAAATACAGAATTATAATAAAAATTCAACTTTTGTATAGTGGCGCCACACGTTCATTTTACATAGTTGTTTTGTGTCGCATTGTGTTTTATTGTAGATTTGAAGTTGGTACTATTGAAACTATGTGCTCATTAAAAAATAGTAAGTCAAATATACGAAAATGACAAACATGTCGAAATTGCGAACCTTGGGCTTTTAAAGAGCAATCAAGTAGTAAAATAAAGAAAAAAATTGTTTCAAGTAGGTTGACTCTGGACTTCCTACGCAACGCTGTCATCAGTTTAAGGATTAAATTCGGCACAAGTTGGCCCCTCTAAGAAAAAACGTTAGCTACGAACATGTATAACAAAAAAATTAAACGGACCAGGTTAGTCCAATAGACTCATACAATTGAAATTTGCATATTTACCATGTTTTTTTTTGTACAATTTTGGGGCTCTTTAGGATTTGACTTCCTGAGACAATATGCTCTCCCTCGCTCTTCAAAAAGATTTACATGTCATAATAACATCCAAAAAGCAATATCTCATTTTCGAAAATTTTCGCGATTACAATACTTCCCCGCCAGTAGGCGTGGGAAGTAAAAGCATTGATGAAAGTTTAGAATACAGATGTTCTGGTATATTTAAATGCAAAAATGTCATAGAAATGATCAAGCTAAAATTGGAGTTATTTTGAGCCAAAAAAGCATCCTAAGTAGTTTATTTAGGAGAATGACCTCACATCATCCATATTGTTCTAGACAATATATGAAACTCCTAGGTGTTGAATAAACTACTGGCTAGAAAAATTACTTTCATTTTTAATATTTTCAGTTGATTTATGTATCGGTCGTTTGGTATCTATTATTATCTGTCTGGCAACCCTTCTCCCCTGTAACACAGAGATTATATAATTGGCTCGCTAGCTCGGAAAGTATCATACAGATTTTGATTAAATTTTGTCGCAGGGTTGACTACTCTGCTCAGGACGAAAAAGGATTGTTGGTTTGAAAAACAGCCCAGTGGTGGAGAATTGCTTGCTGGGACGCTAATCTAATTGTTATAAAACTTTATCTTTAAGCATATTATCGTTATAATTACTGGATACAGTAAGGGCATGTTTCTATTCCAGATCTCGTCGAATCAACAGATCAACACGTGAAGACAATAGGGATTTTCATCAACTGTTTAAAATCTTCTCAACCTTGTCTTTGTACCTGGATGCTCAAAATTCTACTTTATGCCGCCTTCGCCGCCCATTTTCAAGCATCTCTTTTAGGCTTCTTGCATTTAAAATAACGTCGGACGAAATTAAAATATATATACTCCGCACCGCAGGTTACTGACCTTGCATTATGCTATAAATTACACACAAATGCATATATATGTGACAGCTATAAATATACTTAACACATTATTCATTTTACCTCTACTCTACACACATTTCCCTTGCCCATCTTCTTCCACTTTAGCACGGTGAACGTTTAAATTGGTATAAAAATATACCACCAGACACGCGCGGTAGAATTACCTGAAGAGAGCCAGATTTTTACAACTACTTGATATAATTCTTTTTGGGTCTGCAACACAGAATATGGTTTGGATAAACTCTAACTTTGAGACTTATCTGTGAGCGTTTCTGAAGCTGTTAACGTCAAGATACGGTCGTGGATTAGGCTCTTTGCTTCAGGTTTTTTCCTGGGCACTTTAAGACTACGAATCGCTTCCGTTCTCAATGTGCGTGCACCTTTAACCATTTCAATTCACAACTGGTTATTCTTATGAGGGTTCTCAAATATCAATTTCAATTAGGGAATAGTGGGACTGAAGACACGGGATCTCAAAACCTTGACCCAGATGCTTTCAGCACTTTATAACTCTTTAATAAAAATATAAATTTGAATTCTGTTTGAATCTGATTCTTGTTCGCGTTCTATCCTCGAATTTTGCGGAGGATCACTACTTACTAGTTTTTTGATGACTGATTACTAAATAATACATAAAACAAAATGAATAAGTAAAAATGGTTGTATGGAATTGGAATTAACCTCTTGGAACTGAATTTTGAAACCTTAACCAATTAATTTGAAATTTTGTACATACGTTTGGTTTGTGGGAAAATACAAATTGAATTAACTGATACAATGCTACGAAATGGCGATTCATCATTTCCATAGTAACCCCTTATGATATAGGCATCGAATGAAAGGGCTTGATGAAAGAAAGAGAATAAGCAAAGAGACGTCAATCTAAATCCAATATGGAGGCTGCCGCAAAATGATGAAGTACAATTTTGATAGTCACCCCTATGACGTGGGTATCAATTAAATGGGCTTGATGAGAGAAACACAATAAGTGAAGTGACTCTATTCTAAATACAATATGTCGACCATCCACGATGGCGTTTATAATTACCATGGCCACCCTCATGATATAGTTTTCAAATTCAAAAGACTTTATGAGACAACCATAACAAGCAAAGTAACGTCAATCTAATTCCAGTATGGCAGCTACAGCTAAATAGTGATTTATAGTTTCCATGATCACCACCGCCATTTTTTCTATGCCAAATATGGACTCTTTTATCATTCGTCGTGTTTCTACTTATCTGTGAGCGTTTCTGAAGCTGTTAACGTCAAGATACGGTCGTGGATTAGGCTCTTTGCTTCAGGTTTTTTCCTGGGCACTTTAAGACTACGAATCACTTCCGTTCTCAATGAGCGTGCACCTTTAATCATTTCAATTCACAACTGGTTATTCTTATGAGGGTTCTCAAATATCAATTCCAATTAGGAAATAGTGGGACTGAAGACACGGGATCTCAAAACCTTGACCCAGATGCTTTCAGCACTTTATAACTCTTTAATAAAAATATAAATTTGAATTCTGTTTGAATCTGTTTCTTGTTCGCGTTCTATCCTCTAATTTTGCGGAGGATCACTACTTACTAGTTTTTTGATGACTGATTACTAAATAATACAGAAAACAAAATGAATAAGTAAAAATGGTTGTATGGAATTGGAATTAACCTCTTGGAACTGAATTTTGAAACCTTAACCAATTAATTTGAAATTTTGTACATACGTTTGGTTTGTGGGAAAATACAAATTGAATTCCAGTATGGCAGCTACAGCTAAATAGTGATTTATAGTTTCCATGATCACCACCGCCATTTTTTCTGTGCCAAATACGGACTCCTTTATCATTCGTCGTGTTTCTAACAGATATTAGCAGTATACCGCACCATAGCGGTCATTTCACCCTTAGAGCAAATAATATTTAAAATTGGTTTTGAGCATTTTTCCCTAGCCATAAAAGTTGTGTTACAGCCTAATTAAGGGTGAAAAGTGTTGGTTTCTTCAGTAGCTACAAGGCCATGTAGGTCTCATCTTCTTCGGACCTGTCAAAGTGGTTGATTTCACCCCTCAAAAATGAGAAAATGCAGTTATTTGTATTCCTGACCTAGCCAGAAAAGTTGCAACAGGCTGAAAATGGGTAAAAAGTATTCCTTTGATTAGTGGTAATAGGACCACATAGGTATCATCTTCTTTGAACCCATCGAAGGGGTTGATTTCATCCCCTGAACGTGGGAAAATACAGTTTTTTGTATTCATGACCTAGCCAGAAAATGGAAAAAAATGTTCCTGTTGTTAGTAGCTATAAGGCCACAAAGGTCTCATCTTCTTCGGACTCGTCAAAGGGGTTGATTTCACCTCCTGAGCATGAGAAAGGTGTTCCTTTGATTAGTGGTTGTAGGATCACATAGGTCTAATCTTCTTCGGACATGTCGAAGGGGGTGATTTCCGACGAATCTGAAGGTGAGATGTAAGAAGTCTTATAACCACTAACCAAAGGAACACTTTCCACCCATTTTTAAACTCTAGCAGCTTTTCTGGCTAGGACAAAAATATAAAAAACTGCATTTTTTCATATTCAATAGGTAAAATCAACCCCTTCGACAGGTCGGAAGAAGATGAGACCTTTGGGGCCTTATAGCTACTAACAACAGGAACATTGTTTTCCATTTTCTGGCTAGGTCATGAATACAAAAAACTGCATTTTCCCATGTTTAGGGGATGAAATCAACCTCTTTGAAGGGTCCGAAGAAGATGAGACATACAGGGTGACTTCGAAGTTGAGTCATTTATTTTAACAGTGAGTAGATCTGATCAAAAGAAATGTTTTTTTCCTTTACCATTTTCCTGGTAAAATTAAAGTAACAAAGTTATAGCCCTTTGGAAGTTTGAGTACCGCCCTGTCTCAATAACAATATTATGTGGTCGTGTTTGGCGACAATGGATATAATCCGCCGTATCGGTTCATCGCATCGGAAACAAAAAAGCGAAAGAATTTGGAACGATGTTTTTACAAGTATCTCATTCATTTGTATACAGTTAGTGTCAGTGAATAGTGGTATGTGTTGCGTGGCTCAAACGAAATAAAAAATGGCACATGTTTATGCGGATCGGTTTCCCAATCGAGTGCAACCAACCCCTCGTGCCTTTGTTAATGTAGTACAACGGGCTTGTGAATCAGGTGACTTAAGACATCACAGGGGACCTCACGATCAAATACAGGTCCGCACTGAAATACTTGTCGGGAGGATACTTTATAAAACAAGGTAAAATTTTTTTTTATTTTTTTTTTATTTTTACACACATATTTTGGTTTATCTTCCTTCTACAATCATTATCTGAAAATTAATGACTCAACTTCAAAGTCACCCTGTATGTGGTCTTATAGCTACTAACAAAAGGAACACTTTCTTTCCATTTTTAGCCTGCAGCAACTTTTTTGGCTACCATTTTCTCATGTTTAAGGGGTGATATTAACCCCTTCAATGTGTCTGAAGAAGATGAAACCTTTGTGGCCTTATAGCTACTAACCAAAGCAACAATTTTCACCCATTTTTAACTTGTAGCAGCTTTTTTGGCTAGGTCAAAAATACAAGAAACTGCATTTTCTTATGTTCAAAGGGTGAAGTTAACCTCTTCAACAGGTCTGAAGAAGATGAGATCTACATGGCCTTGTAGCTACTGAAGAATCCAACACTTTTCACCCTTAATTAGGCTGTAACAAATGTTATTGCTAAAAAATGACCAAAATTTTAAATATTGTTTGCCCTAAGGTGTGGTATGTTAATAATATCTGTTAGAATCATGAGGGAATTATCAAAGTCTGTATTTGGCACAGAAAAAAATTGATGCCGAAAAGTGGCTGCTAACTTCACATCATGGACTATATGAACTCAATAAAATAGTGTGTAGGGCAACACATGTATGGTTCAATATAGACTGATCTATCTAATCCATAATACAGAGGATTCTTCCTAATTCAAATGAAAGAACAACTTTTAAGATGGACCAACCTTGTCACAGGTAGATGCTTTCAAATACTTTAGGTAAAAAATACACAGACTTTCATTCAAAATTAGCAGTTTTGAATTTATAGAATGCCAACTTGCCAACCTCTGCGAAGTTTGATCATTTGACCATTTTGAAAGAATGCAGCTATTGTTAGCAACTGCAAGAAATTTTCTACCTAATATTTTTTGTTAAATGCTGATTGAGGAATCTTCTGCACTTTATATCAGAGTACCATCTGGTTTTAATATTGAGTAGTATTATTTTTGAATAGTGGTTATAATCTATTATATTAGTTTACAAGGTCATACATAACTAAAAAAGGTTTGGTATCACATTCAGAGTTTGGAGATATCAAACAGGTGGATTTAAAGTACCTAACATTTCAATTTGAATGTCAGGAAGCATAAGAGTGAATTATAATGAGGCTCAAACAATAACAGTTGTTTCGTTTCTCATATAAGGCTTGTGGCCTTCACAAATAAGCACAGCTTAAATCAGTTGTTTACAGTTATATGTGCCCACCTATTTCAGTTTCTAGTTATGGAAACTAATATATGTACAGCTAAAGGGTTTTGTTTAGCTAAAAGTGGTGTTAGTATCACACTTTAAAACATCTGCAGAGTATCTATTAACTGCAAAAAATGGGGATGGAAGCATGAAGAGAAAACCTTATTGTTTGAGATACCTGATAGAGCAGCTGATACAAAATAACCGTACACAAGATGATTCCACTAACTAGTTAGAGAAGAATTATACTGGTTATAGGTCTTTCAGTATAAAAATTGTTTCTAGAGAAGGATATAGGTTTGTTGACAGATGAAACAGTTCATACCTAATCAAATCACAGTAGTCATGGACCGTTCACGTGAGCGAATGCCAGTACACAACCAGATAAAAAATGTTCAGAACACCACGTAACACTAATGTCACACTTTAGTTTCACTACTCCAAATTACCTACATGTATATAGTAAATAAAATATATAAAGATTTTGGGACATGTCACTTCAGCTACACATGACATACCGCCGTCACCGCGTCAACCATTTTGCATTTTTCTCACTGTTGCCAAGTCATCGAGAAACTCATCGTATCCAACTTCATGTATCGATCTATCGATACGTCGATGCACGTGGAAGGAATCGCGAAGTCGTAGCCGAACCTGGACATCTGGACAATCTTCGAGATACTCTACAGAGTACAGAGGTGGTACAGAGACGCTATCAGAATCTTGTATGCTATGCAAAACGCCGTTAAAGGATGGCCACATTTTTGTATACATCAGTGGTTATTCAGCAAATAGGAAAGCATTTAGATCGCTCCTGCATCTCATGTTTACAGTACACTAATCTATGAAATATTATGCCTGATGATTTTTTCTCCACAGCGGACGATCGCCTACAGCGCTTCACCATCTTGTTTATTTGCTCAAGCATACAGAGAATGACGACGAAAATAGTGTACGCAAGAGGGATAATTGGGAGTTTTTGCATAACGCTTATGCTGGAACCGCACGCTTGCCATTTGCCGCAAACTCCCCTACAAACGCTTGCCTTTTTTTTTGAAGAAGCAAACGTCGCCGTCCACACGTTTGCGGGTGTGTCACTGAAAAGGCAACAGGCAAACATGAGGGACGTCGAACTTGTGTCTGCGGTAGCGTTTGGCTTAAGCTATTTTTATTATAAAACCAAAAAAAGTCAGATAAAACGAAAAGTACGACCAAGAAGGCGGTGGATGTTAAATATTCATATGAACCGTACCAGGTAAATGGTATTTGTTTTAATGAAATTAATATTGAGTTTCAAAAATAGTACCTGTCACAAACGTATGGATGTGTCACAAACGCTTGTGGCAAACTCCTTTTGATTTGCGACCAAAAAACTGACACCCGATCGGATCGGCTACAAGCGCTTGCAAACCCACGCAAACCAAGCCAAATGCTCTATCCGCATGTTTGCGTTTGTGACGATTTGGCAAGCGTGCGGTTTCGGCATTAGAGAAGCGACGTAGGCGCAAACGCTATCCGGTAAAGCACATTACGTATGCGTTATGTCAATCGGTTGTGGATACTTTTCGCAATAGCATGAGAAATAACGTGGACATAACCTTAAATTTGTGACCTTAAAGCTGTACCTTACAACGCTACAACCTCAATACTTTGGCTGTAAAGGTTTCTTTGACGAAATGGATGTACAAGAACTTCTTGATTCGGCCGCTATAGGGGCAGTGAACAACGAGGAGTTGGAGACTGGGATTTTGCACAGCATTCTCAACACACAAGTTCCCCGTTCGCTTGACTTCTTTCGCAGTACACATAATACAAACTTTATGAATAAAAATGGAAACCAAAACCACACCGCACCTAACCTCAAATCATAACGATCATCGCCCGAGTGGTTCCGGGTATCCACGAAAAGATCATATACCGCCTCGCGCTAAGTGTTCTCAAATTACGCTAGGCGGTAACGTAATTAGTGCCCGCTATCATGAAACCCACAACTGAGCATGCGTATCTGTCAAAATAACGTGCCTAGAAAATACCGCAGCACGTTAAGTGGCATGCAAAAACTCCCTATTTCCGACAAAAACCAGTTAAATTGTGCAAAACAAATGCAATGCATGTCACAGAACACATAAGACTGAAGAAGTGGGAGCTGCACGTTAAACAACGGCAACACCGTTGACGTTTTGTCAGATGGTTGCGCTGCCTACTTGCCTGGAGAGCTGGAGGAACTATTGAAGGAATTCAAAGAATGCGCCGGGAGATTAGGAATGTGCCGAGGATTTAGTTTGTTTACTATTTAAAATCTGCTGAAAGTGATGTTTCCCACATTGAAGAAATATTTTATGAGCATAGACGCATAAAATATCCTCAATAAAGGAAATACCTGATTCAGCAGTTTTGCTGGTAACCAATTTTGGGATAATAAAAACTAAATCCGTAATTAATAAAATATTTATTAAATAGTTAAATATATGAATAATAATAATAATAAGTAATAACTTATCATCACAGTACATTGACAATATATAAAGGTATTTTTAGAGAACCGGAGCTTTCTCTATATTATTAAGTGAATAAGTGATGTTTCAAAAAAAATACAAATCATACATTAGTAGCATAAAAAACTATAAAAAGGGGCACTCAGTAATCAAAGAAGTGTTTAGCAAGCACTACCTATTATTAATCCATCATGAGGTATAGTTATCACTGAAACGTAAAGATTCATACTAAAACAACAAAAAATAAATATCTGTAGTTAAATAAATAACTGAAAAAAAAATAATCTGAAAAAAACATTACTTTTTATAATGTAAAAATGAGGAAAATTTTCCTCAAAGAAGGAATCAAAGTTAAAAATAAATTCCTCATACTTAAAACCAAATGCTCCTGATGGCTTTAACATTACAGGGAGTAACAAAATAAATAATAATTCTTCGTTCAACTGCTCCCTCTCAAAGATGCTGAACCCTGAAACAAAAAAAAATATTGTTTAGGTATAATATCACAGTAGTGTTTGGTTACCTAAAGAACATAGAAAATTCAATGAATGAAGAGTACTAGACTACATAAGAAAGCATTACCTGACTTTAGCTGTCTTGAATTTATTATTTGTTGCTATATGACATATGACTATTAGTAGTCTCACCACTCCTTTTCAAAGAATTTCTCTTTACATATTTGTAAATTCCCAACCAAGCAGGTTTTTCAATTATACCGTTTGCCACATCATGCTGCGACAAAAGCTGTAATTTTTAAGGATGCGGGAATACTTCTGTTTATATTTAACTTCATCCGGAAGACCAATCAGGTTAATTAAATCTTCACTTGCATACTTCAATCGCTTTTCCTCATCATGCTCTTTAAACGTCACAAATAGATGTTTTTCAGTGACAAACAAAGAAAATAACCTTGCACAGGATTCACAATTACTATCAAATTTGAGTCTGTCCAAAATGTACCCAGCAACATAACCATTTGAAGGATTCCATTCAACAGAACTGTCCATTACTTCCATTTCAGAGTCACTTAGAATCTCAGGGTCTAAATCAAGCACTGTATCATTACCTTGGTCATATTTATCTAAAAAGTCACTGAAATCGACCAAAGTATCACAAAAATCGATTTCACAATTACCTTTAGAAAAAGGTGTTGCTGAACTTATTAATAACTACTATTTTTAAGGCAACAACAACTGATGACAGGTGGGATTTGTATTGAAGATACCATGCGGTCTTACTTGACCAAATACATTTTCCAGGGAATCTTGATTTAAATTTCTCAAACAAAGATATTTTAAGCCATTCTCCTTAAGATCCATCCATAGTGATATAAAAGATCTAATTGTTATTTGCCAGCGTTCAACAAATTTGAAATAGTTTGATTTGTAAACCCCAGTGACAATGAAAATGGATTTTAATTTGGATAGCCTTGAGCAAACATTCCAGTGGACTTTATACATAATTGATTCCTTAGGGCTCAATTCCTTCTTTGATGTACCAGATTTTGTTAATATGCCAGAGCCCTTCTCTAACAAAAAAGAATACTCATCTAAATAATTAATAATAATAATCTACGTTCCAAATTCTACACTGAGACCTTTTTTGTGTTACATGGTTATTTATCTTAAAACAGCTACAATCTTAAACTATTACAACTCCCATAGGACTCATCTATTGTATAAAGATCTGACTGTACTAGAAATTGCTTAATAGTCTCTTTAAATTAATGTAAACTGTTAATGTTTTTAATTTCATTTGGTAGATTGTTAAAAAAATTTAAACACATGTAAATAGGGCTTTGTTCTCTGGAGGATAATCTGTGTATCAGATAAGTAACATTGACTGTTCGAGTATCATAAACAGTTTGCACCTCAAGCTCAAATAAATTAGATTGTTCTAGAATCACTTCCACTGATTTCAATGTTTTGATCTTCCAGAATAACACTGGAATTTTCATTTTGCTCAGAAGGGGTTGGATTTGTGGTAGCCTCTCCAGAAGGAAGGTCATTGAATAAAACTCTAGATACTGAACTGGGACTTGGTTTAGTAGGATGACTATTATTTGAATTTAAAACTATTGGGGGACACTGGTATGGTGAGACATCTGAGACGTGAAGGATCTTGCGGATTATTACGATCAAACATTGAAAAATGATCTTCACAAACATAATAATTGGAAACTTTACGAGTGGGAAATATCTTGCAAGCTGCCTTCCATGCAGCAACAGTATTTTCATCTTTTGGAAAACGATGGAATACTTTATTTTTCTATATACAAGCAATTTCCGAACAATGCGAAAATAGGAATTTTTGCAAGAAGGATAGTTGCATGAGTACTTTAAAGAAGCGATCTACGAAAAGGCAACCCCAAATCCAGACATGACTGATTCACAAAAAAAAAACAAGCTTATTGAAGTATGCAATCACACAATCACAAGTGTATTACATTGAAAAATATATGACAAAGGTTATTAGTACTATTATTATATGAAGATTATGAACGATAATTTCTCGATTGGGAATTAAATCAATAATTAAAAATGTAATGTCTAGTTTACCCGAATCAAAAAACAGACTAGAAACAAAATGGAAGTTCCCAGGGAAAGTCAAACTGTCGTTTGTCAAAACTCAAACTCTGTTGTTAAGAAAGTGTCCTATATTTTGCCTGGAGATTTATGTGTTTTGTGCCTGGAGAGAATGACCTTGGTGTTGCCAGTTCGCGAATCCCATAAGACGTTTCACCCCCCTGATGCATGTCATTTTGTCATTTTAACTGAGAACTGAAACACGCAGGATTCCATGCTTTCGAAGTTTCACATTACTTGTTACAAATGTGGCTGCAAAGAACAGTATCTTTGACAGCTATAACGATAATTACACCGACGAGAGGTCGGCGACATGTCTCTCTTCTTCCAGTATCCTAACGGACTTTGCTTCGCTCAACCTACTTTCTTTCTTTTAATTTGACCACTTATATTTATGACTTTCGTATCTCTTTCATAAATTTAACAAAATAAAGACTTAGCAAATATGTAATGATACAAAAATCACCAGACTTGGTGTAAAATCGCCACACTGGCAACCCTGAACAATTTGTAAGCGCATCGATAATGCCGTGGATATAAGAGGGTTATGTAAGTCTGGATGCCTATACGTTCAGCTTGACGCAAATATAAATAAAATAGTAATTCTGTATTTTTCGGCTTGGCAGCATTGCATGTCCGTCCTTGGATTACTGGAAATTAAGTCTCATGTGTTCTGTGATTAAGGTAGTTCATTGAAAATTTTGAACTCTACGCGCGCGCCCTTAACGCTGTGAGAATTTGATAAAATTACTTTTAGACGGACAAAATTAGAGAAAAGCGGTTTCATGATGGTAAGTAGTAAGCATCATAGTGATCTAACCGTAATAGTTAAACATAAATAAAATACCACTATTCGTCATTGTCTGTCAGATCGGTCCGTAGGACCTTTGCTCTTGGTTAGTTTATTCACATGTCACATAGTACTACCAGAGGCGACACTCAAAAATTAGCGTCTATCAGTGCCAACTTGAGTCCTATGCATTTGGTGGGATTCGTGTAGCTGTCATTTAGTATTTAGGGGATATCAAGAACATTGAGGTTTATTTCTACCTAAAATTCATCAACGTTGACTAGATTCAATCAACATCTTCGTCCGCAGTATATCAGCATTTGTTAGTGTTTGACGTATCACATTCGGACGTCAGGATGTTTTTCAATTCCCAAAATGACAGCTATATCGGTTGCCCCTCGGCCTCATACTCTTTCAAGAATCGATCAAGTTATCAGTATCGACCGTTAACGGGGTTCCATAATTCCATCTCTAGAGAGAAGTAGAACACATTGGCAACGCTGCCGTGTACATCAATCACTACGCGGTTGATTGTGATCGTGTACTGTGATTGGATTGATCACAATCACATGATGTACCTTATTCTTACGATCAAAACACTGCGTCGGCCGGTCGGCGTCGGTTACTGGAAGTGTCAAAATATTTTTTGAGGTTAAATGGTTTGCCGTTGCACCTAACATAGAATATAGATCCATAAAAAAAGAAAACAAACAAATACAACTTTGTTTTGTAATTTTTAACTATTCAGCTATGAGTTCTGCAAGTAAGGTGAGTAGTAGTGGTACTATCCTCGTACTATATGTGCATAAAATTGATATATTGATACTGTTGTATTCAAAGGTAGGAGAGATATTCACAGCCGCAGGGCAAGCTTTCAACAGACTTGGGGACCTAACAATGCAGCTACATCCGAACACGGAAAGCCCTACAGGGTAAGACCTTATCAATTTTAAAACTCTTTGTTATTCAAATCCGATATTGATATATTGCAAAAAGCATAATACAGAGGCAGCTATCGTCGAAAGGACACTTGGACAAAACAAGTCAGGACACCATTCTTAGCCCCTATAGTTTGATCCATCAGGCAGCTGTGTTTGTTGCTCCCAAATTACTCAGACTGCAGCCCTGGGCCAAATGTCAGATATTGAATCAGCACAACATTAGTCAAAGCAATACTGTAACTAAGAGCCCTTCCACACTGACACCATAATCAAATCCAAGCGAATAACCAAAATTTCTGTGTTATGTGCCGCGGTTATAATATGGTTCAAGATGACATAGGGTTGATGACGTCAGTTACACGAATCGCTTGAACGCGTTGGTTTTAACCGCGGTTTTGTTGCAAGTTGTTTATTTTAGAAAAGTGCATATATAATCTCTGATTATTTTTATCACCACTTAATAATCGGTGCTTTTTTGTCTACAACGGTGTATGGAAAGTTTAAATAAGAAACCTTTCATAATATTCATGGGAGAAGTGTTTTTTTTCAGAAAAATTTTGTTAATGATGGAGCCATGGTTTTGTAGCTATGATAACTTTCAGTTCTCTAAAGTTTTCCGCATGTCAAAAAAAACATTTATTGATTTAGCAGAAATGATGAAAAAACGATGTAAAAGGGTATTAGCAAAACCATATACAGGTGGACATCATTCAGTGAGTTAAATGGCCATATGTTAATATTCTTGTGGTATATGGCTAAACAGGATACTTTGTTAAACATAGGAACTAGATTGAAAGTGTTCCCAACAACAGTAATGAGTATAACTAATAAGGTGCTCCACTTTATGCTAACACTGACGTCAGCCTGTATCAAGTTTCCCAAAAATGAAGCTGAAGTACAATAACAATATCCAATAACCGGCAAAATTCTAACTTGTCACATTTCAAATAATAACCAGAAATATAAAAGTACTCCTGAGTTGGGTAAATACCACAATTTTGCGGTGATAACTGTGACATATAACAGCTGATTCATGATGTCACGGATCTTATAACCAAACTGATAACCACACTCACTTGAACGGATCGGTAAGTACCAACCCAAAATGGTTAATACCATTTTCATTTGGTTATCCGCTTGAATTTGATTCTTGTCAGGGAGTCGAAATATATTTCATTAGCTTAGTTTGGTTATGGTTGCTGGTGATGTCACCAAGAAATCCCAGTGAGGGACTGCCATTAGAATATTTACCTTCAAAATCTACTACATACTTTGCAAGCATATTTTTTTGTATCTATCATTTACTGATGATAGCCTTGTCAGTTTATAGATTTCTAAATAATGAATTAGGTTAAAACTTGGTTCGTAGAGAACATCATAAAAACTCAAAAGATAATCTTCATAATTAAGTCTTCACTACATCCATTTTGATTATTCTTATATAGATATAGGTAAGACTTGCATTTTATGGTGGGGTGGAAACTAGAGCCCCAGTGATTAACTTTTGAATAAGGGCAGCAATAAAGGTGTTCATGAATTTATCATATCACCAAATGCAAGGCTTAACCTACTAACCTCCTTATTATTTAATCCAGCAAGTGGACTGATGAAGAAATCGAGATGCTGAGGCAAGTTGTAAAGCAATTCTCTGATGGTTTGAACCAAATCAGTGATCACATAAAGCGTAGAACTGTGTAAGTGCTTAGAATGTATGCTTCACAGGAAGTTCTTCACTAATAGTGATTATTTTATTTCTGTGGCAGATCTCAAATCAGGACAGCTTTGAAAAAGAAGGCTTTTGAAGATGCAGGACTTCCTATTAGACAGATTTCAACTGTGGCCCAACCTCAACAACAAACACAAACTGCACAACAACAGGTACTTATAATTGCTTTGACCATATTAGTAGACCTACCACAGTCATAATTAGAAAAATAATAGTTTTAAACAATGCTGTAGTTGCAGGTATGCATGAGGTCATGTTGATGCATGTCTATACAGGGTGTCCCACATCAAGACAGATATGGGGGAAATAAGTCATGTACTTTTGAAACTAGAGGCTTTACCATGTGATGATCTTTTACTTTCTGTTTCTACCAATTTCAATTTTTTCTTAGATGGAGTGATGGACAGTGTCATATGTAATGAGAGCCAGACAAATAGTAAAGCCACTTTTGTTAAATCGCGAATGCCTTTATAAATTCACAATAACCATTCAGACTGCCTTCCTTCAGCAGCAATGCAAGCTTGATGTCTTGAAAGGCGAGCGTATCTTCCGTTATTAACAAATTCATCTGCTTCCGCTATTCTTAGCTCAGCTACACTCTCGATTAGCTTTGCATAAACTTTTGTTTCACTGCTCTCTAGTAAATAAAATCAAGTGGATTTAATTCGGGTGAACGGGCTGGCCACGAAATTGTACTAGATAGATAGATAGATATTAATTGATCACATTTCAGTAGATTAATACATGTGACAAGTCAAAGAAGGAAAAAATGATGCACAAGACATTAAAAATTACAATTATAAAAAAATAAGTAAGACCTACACATGATAATGACAATTAAAAATGCTTATAATAAAAATTCTTGTACAGGATCAAAGAAGCTCTGGCATAGCAATTTCTTTACTCAAACTCATTGTAATTTGTGATATATACAGATCGTTCATATGCTGTTGTTTTATGCCTAGGAAAACATGCCTGTCTTATAGTTGGGTTACTCCCAAGGAGACTTAAGCCATCAGGGTTGCTTTTCACAAATGTTATACATTTTAATATATAAAATTGATAGTGTTAGAAGTCCGTATTCTTTAAAACTTACGGTCATTAAAACTGGTCTGATAGTTGCTTTTTAATAAAAAAAAAATATATATTTGGTTTGTTCGTACAGTAGTCGGTAACTTGTCGGTGACTGTCAAAATCAGATAGATGTTACCTGTTCGTACAGTTCTGACTGTTTGCCGACAGCTAATCCGCTGTTCGTACATTACCTTCTGACAGGTCAGGGTACACCAGTCAACCAGTGACAGTGACATATATCAGAGTGAGTCGAAAATATCTTGAGGACTAAGATTGCTTCGCAAAGGGCATTTAATGATCGATTACTCTTCTCTAATGGACGATATGGGGACACTCCGCACCGACAAACCGTTGGCGATCTAGCTACGCCAACGGGCTTTGCTGTCGTTCCATGGTGTCATCGCGCAATGTGTCTGCCTGACTTCGGCCTCCCATCGTAACCGTGTCGAACTTCTTACATCCAGAACTGGCTTATAAGACCGCTCCTATGTCCCGAGGGTGTCGAGATCGAGTAACAATCTACATTAGGAGCTTTTCCCAGTTCTACTAACTTTAGGCAGTTCAAAAATAAGAATAACGAAGTTTCTTCAAACAAAATCTGAGGGATATACCCAGAAGATGAAGACCTTGTAGATCTACTGGAGGAGAGAATGAAACTCAAAAGCCTAAATTTTGTGGAGAAAATAGTGCCACAATTCAACAGCAACAGGTTTTTGTAACATTATCGGGTGAGCAAGTTGCAGAAGAAATTTCAATGAAATTCCATTTTAAATATCAGGCAGCGCCAAAGTGCTTTGTGTTCAATATTTTGTTGATTGACCCGGTAATGACAAAATGAAGATTATGAATACACTATGAAAAATCCGAACAATAGACGACATAACTTACAAGTACCATACTTTTTGTGATCACTAATCTTTTGAAAATTTTTGTTACAGTTCCAAAATGCGAAATTACGCGATTTTAGTCTTACTTCTATGTATTTTCATTGTCCATGTTGGGAACTCTGTGTAACTTATAGCTATGTAAGCAGATCTTGATAATTGTAGTTATGTTCAGCTGTTTTAGCTTTTTAGTGTATAACACCTTTTGTTATTCAAATACGTTATCAAATCCTTGTAGTATTTTTACTTCATTCTTTTAGTAGTCAAATTTTCAATTCGACATTTCTTCTTTCGACTTCCATCATCAACTTTGTGTCTTCATACGGATGCTATATTGGAATTTTGTACGCTCAAATGGACTTTTCAGCCCTAAATCAGTGATGTATTTCGTTAGTTGGCCATACATTTGTTATTGGACGAAAATTATAAGGAAATAAAAAGATATGGTTGCACCTAACACGAAATGAAAATTTTATTATTCACAGTCTCAAACTCTTTTGCTATGCAAACAAATGAAATCTGATAACTTCAAGGCCTACCTAGGAACTTCTGGAATAACTAAGGTTTTGCAATGTCAATGTATGACATACTCTTTGTTGAAATCAGAATAAAAATTCTATTCATGTGTGTACAAATCCAATATGGCGTCTATAAGAAAAAAATAAGTTGATGCTGGAGGATAAGAGACGAAACGTCATATTGAAAGTCTAATTGCGTCGTCTTGTAGAGGAGAAAATGTGGCAGAATTGATGTGCAATATATTTTGAAATTCCACCACAAATAGTCATTTGGGAAATTTCTTTTTTACGTCTCTTTCTGGAAGTACGAGTACTTTCAATTTCAAAACTTTCTAAGCGACATTTTGCTGATTATCTGAATATGCCTCTATTGAAACGACTTCGTATCCCTTAAAGTTGCCGAGATCCCAATGGTGAGGGTTGAATTTGAAATACCCTGTATAGGGAAAATATTATTTTCACCCCAGCATAACTAGTCGGCCACTCCCTCTCCGTGCGCACCCGTGAAATAAAGCTGTATCACAAAATCTCCAGAATTCGTAGTTTTTTACCAGGTTTGGGTTGTACTTACATAGCTGAAATACTCGTATATAAACACTGTTTCTGCGTACACTTCGAGGCTGGGCGACAAGGGAACAGGAAACAAAAGCACTATTATCCGAGTTTTATTAAAAGTTATTCACAATACTTTGTACATTTCTCAGGCATAATCACTGCAGACGTTTATTCAGAATTCTTACTATTTACTTCTTCAACTTGTTATTCGATGTGTGGAATCATATTTCTTCGAATTTATGTTTATACTTTTTTAAATAATTAAATGGGAATTACTGAGTAAATCTACTTGACATCTTTGGGTGTTGTTATTATTTCTAAAAAGTGTCCCGTGTTTTCATCTCTAGAGGAAAATTCGGGCGCATTCGGGCAGTTGGACGATAAATCCTAGATCATTATGTTTTACACCAAATGAACATACCCCAATTTTTCCAAAATTGTTTTCTTCATTCTGAAAAAGTTTACATTCGAATAATTACTATTGTACTTGATTTCGAGCTCTGACAATTTACTGGCAAATTAGCAAATTATCTGCAGTCATCAAACAGTCAGAAGTTATACATACATATATATATATATATATATATATATATACAGGGTTATCCAAATTAAGTGTCCACCATTAGTAACTTTGTTATTAGTGAAAATACAAAGTTGTTTGAATTAGCAAACTAGTAGCATTTTTAACGCTGGTAAAAATGAGAAATAAAAAAAAACAATTGAGAGTCGTTATTTTGATTTTTTTCAGTAAAATAACATTTTTTTAAATGGAAACCCCTGTATATTATATTTTTTTCTGTTAAAGCATCAAATTTTAAACAAAAAAGTTCATAATGACTTTTCCGCTAAAGTCAAAAATAAAGTCAAAATAACGATAAATATTTTTAATTATTTGCAGTATTATAATATTAAGACGGCTATGAAAACAACATGGCGTTCGCGATTTGACAGCATTAAGATAAGCGACAAATTGTTAAACTGGACATACTCGCAACTAGAAGGCTTTGGAAAACAATGATAATATCAAATAATGTCAAACATTAGTGTAAATACTTGTTTATAAGCTTTATTGTGTCATTAATTTAAAGAAAAATGTTCTCCCATGAAGAAAAGTGTGATATGTTAGAATGCTATTTAGTGTGCAGAAAATCCTCCTTGAGAGCAAGAGAATACTACAGTGAATTATATCCCGCTCGCATTCAACCGTATGAACGATATTTTCTGAGACTTTATCGAAAATTTAGGGGCAACGAAAATGTTTTTGCTAAAACAAGGGCAAAAAAAGAATTCATAATAAGCGAGGCCACGGAAATTGCAGTTATTGGATATTTTGAAGCTTATCGTGAGAATTCAATAGCAGATATTCTCAAGGACTCTAATTTCAGTTATGGTACTGTTCAAAGGATTTTAAAAAAATACAAATTTATTCCGTATAAGTACCGACCAGTTCAAACGCTTTTGGCAGGGGATCCAGAGAGAAGACTTGTTTTTTGCCATTGGTATCTTAGCTTCTGTCGCCAAAATGTAAATAACTTTCGTTACCTTTTATGGACAGATGAATCAAAATTTTCAAATTCTGGAATGTTTAATAGAAAAAACCACCATTATTGGTCAAGAGAAAATCTTTTGTTAGTACATCCAAGAGGCCCACAAGTCCGTTTCAGTTTCAACGTTTGGTGCGGTATAATTGGTTCAAAAATTGTTGGCCCGTTCTTTTATGAGGGAACCCTAACTGGTGAAAGATATGTGGAATTTATGTCAGAAATTCTGACTAATTTCTTAAACGAATTGGATCTTATAAGTAGACATCATCTGCATTTTCAGCAAGATGGCGCACCTGCCCACAACTCCAGAGGTACTTATCATTTTCTAAGTACTACTTTTAATGATCAGTGGATAGGAACAAATGGCCCAATACAGTGGCCTCCCAGATCACCAGATCTAAACCCACTTGATTACTTCTTGTGGGGTTACTTAAAGAACCAAATTTACAAGCGAAGGTACGATAACCTTGACGCGTTAAAGACTGCAGTTAGGGAAAAGATAACCCAGATAGATGGTAGGACCATACTTAAGACAGTTCGAGCAGTTGAAAAACGTGCCCAAAAATGTATTGAAGAA